ATCTGTGTTATTGTGGTCTTATCGCCATGGACCGCCAAAACTCCTTCTGGATCTTCTTCTTCAAAACCCTCAAAGCCACCATGAGAGAGAGGAATAATAACTAGAAAAACAATTATTTTTTGTGGCCTTCTCCTCTTCTTTTATAGTAGAGAACAAGTCCCAATCCCCTCTGGATTGGTTTTACAGCTTTTGGTAACAATTGGTCCCATAAAGAAATAAAGAGAGGTGAAAATATATAATTCCTACATGTAGTTTTAACTTCCAGGATGTCAAGGCTCGAGCTCTAGAGTCCCAGGCTCGAGCTTTCAAGAACATACCTTGAGCCTAAGTGATTTTAACATATTTAGAGTACGAATCTCGAGATGGCTATTAGAGACAAAAATATCGGGCTTCGAGTCTTCTTTCTAGTGCCATTGAGTGTGCTCAATTTGGAGTTCTGAGTCAAATGTTATGCCCAAAATACTAAAGCGGGTTCAGAGTTTTCAGCAATGCTCGAGCCCAGAGTGGTTGTTGCTCGAGCTTTCTGAGTCAGGCTCGAGCTTTGAAGCTTGAGCTCGAGCTCTAGGAGCAAAATTATTCCGAAACGTCTTCTTATTGATGGTGCTCGATCCTCTCTTCATGGTGCTCAATCCCAAGGTGTTGAGCTCGAGCTCTATGGCTGTGAGAGGTGTTAGTGCTCAATCCCTGAGGCTTGGCATAAGGTCCAGGGAGCTTGGATCAACTTTTCACATTCCAACGCATCATGTACTCGAGCTTTAAGGCAAAGGCTCGAGCACCCTGTGGTTGGGCTCGAGCTCTGAGGATCAAGGCTTGAGCTTTCTTGCCTTTGGAATTTTTTGCATTTTTTTGAGGAGCTCGAGCCATAGAATTGAGGCTCGAGCCTCTAAACTTAAAACTCCCCAAAATTCACCATTTTAACTCTCGGCTTACTTTGAATGACTGGTAACGACTCGGTAAACTTCTTTATCATTCTTTTCATCATAAAAGCCTGGTTTTAACTGTTTCTTTGGGAAAGTACCTAAAAACACGAAATACATAGAAATCAATCTAACAATGGATAGAAATATCACTTTAGGTCTTAACATACGTATATTTAGGGACTCAAATATGCAATATTCGGCCCTCATCACACCCCCAAACTTACATATTGCTAGTCCCTTAGCAATACAGAACTAAAAAACCACTTTCGTGGGAATCACGATTGCATTTAGCCTGTGCAACAAGCCTTTAAACCTCTAGGTTACCCCTAGTGGACGAGTTGTAGTCTCATAAGGGTTTCCAGTGAAGATACCCACAAACTTCTCAAATCAGTGCCTTAATTACACGGTAAGCTCATTCAAAACTGTTTTCATATCATAATGTCCTAGCAATGCATCAATCAGTAAACTATAACAAGTATAAGGAACTATATTAAACAAGAAAAATCTCCAACTCTCAATATCATATCAGTAGCCATGGTCCCCGTATGTCAGTTTAATCCCATGTTTAACAATCTCGATTCCCAAAATCCTTTTTAATAGTAAACTTACAATTTTAAACATGTGGCTTACTATGCATAATTATATCTAACTCATGTTATCCCTCAATTCATAAGTAAACCTTTCAAATTATGATCCCCAAGGTATTTTTCTTAATTTTCTACAGGTATGCATTTATTTCATTCATCACTCAATTTTTTTTTTTTTTTTTTTTCAAAAGGGTACTGTGCAATGCTCAGGTCTATTAAGCTTTCTAAATCACTGCTGTAACGAGTTTTCAGTATAACTCCCAAACCAGATGGCTTTAGGGCATTAAGTGTTAAAATACCCCTACGGACCTAATTGCTCAAGTAATCTAGGCAACCTAAACTTCTTATGTAACGAACTTTCAGCTAATGACTCCCAAACCAGTTGGTTTTAGGGCATTAGGTGTTAAAACACCTTGAGAACTTAATTGCTCAAGCAATCTAAGTACATACCTGAAATTGACCTTTTTTCTCTTTTTTCTTTTGTTTCTTTCACATTTGTGAAGAACTTTTTTTAATTTATTTTTTTATTTTTTTGCATACATACCATTTTATTTCTTTCATTTATTATTATTATTATTATATCTTGATTCTCAAAATCATCAAATTCACTTGATCATTTCAGTTTGACACAAATCAGAAAAAGATTTCAAGTTTATACCCCACAGAATGCATGTAAGTGTGAACATGTGCAAAGTGAAGTATTCTAGGAATCAAAATCATCAAATTGTAACTATCCTGACAAAGTGGACCACAGGCCACCAATTGATATAAAAAAATTTCAAAAATCCCTATTTAGCATGAATTCGGCATACAAGCCATCTAAAACCAATATCAGACTGCATATGGACATCACAATAATCAACAGACTCAAAATCATGCTTAAACAGTTAAATTACATCATCTTGTGCACAATATATCATCAATAAAATTTTAAAGACACTGCCTTACCCCCAAACTTAAGATGCACATTCTCCTCAATGTGTGATTATAGATGTAGAGATAGAAAGATATTACTAAATACGCAGAACCAGCAAAGATCAGGAATTCTAGCACCGAGGAATGAAATCGTCACCTCACCTCCAAACTTAGTCCTTAATACCTGACAAAACAATCACATTCCATAACACACATTAGGGTACCAAGTATATGGAGTAAAATAGATATATATATATATATATATATATATATCATTATGCACAAGTAAAAAAAAAATTAAAATTTTTTTTAAATTTTTTAATTTTAATTTTAATTTTTTTTTGCAAAAACAAACCTAAACTAACCGAATCAAAAAATAAAAGAAAAATACAAAAATAAACTAAGAACCTAGAAATACCAAAAAGAATAAAAAGAAAAAGAAAATAAATCAAATCAATCTAAAGTACAAACCTACAAGTGCTAAGTTTAACGTCGATAGCTCGACGTTAGGCCACTCCTTAGCCTGTATCCAACAACTCAACTACCTCGCTCATCCCAAAACCAGTCCTATGGGTGATTATGATATTTGAAACAGGAGGAACCAGTGTGGTTCTATCAAGACCCAAGAAAGAATACTCAAGCTTATCTAGTGGTGGCTTAGGCTCAAGTTTGTGAGAGCACTCACAAAAAGGACAAGGGGGACTCGAAATCAAAGGATAAGGATCTTTTGTTAGAAAGATGGTGACTGAATCCTCATTAAAGACATCAAAAAAGAAGCACTCATCTTTCTTTAAGGAATATGGAGTGGCATTGAAGATGTTTAATTTGAGTTTCATGTTCCTAAAAGAAATATCCATAGCCCTAGTCCTACAGTTAATGTTGGCATTCGCTGTAGCTAAAAAAGGACGACCAAGGATTATAAGAATATATCTTTTGGGATCATGGATAGGTTTTGTATCCAGGACAAGAAAGTCAACCAGAAAATAAAACTTGTCCACTTTAATGAGAACATCTTCAATTATCCCACGTGGTTGCTTCATAGATCGATCAACAAGTTATAACACCATTGACGTGGGTTTAAGCTCTCCTAAGCCTAATTGCTCATACACCGAGTAAGGAAGAAGATTAACACTCGCTCCAAGATCAAGAAGTGTGCGGTCTATCCCATTGTTTCCAATGATGAAAGATATGGTAGGAGCACCAAGATCTTTGAACTTACGAGGAGTGTTGTGCTGAATGATTGCACTAACTTGCTCAGTGAGATAGATTTTTTTAAAGGCTTGGCTTTTTTATTTTCTCTTTTGAGTGCACAGGTCTTTCAAAAATTTAACATAGGCAGGGATTTGATTGATAGAATCTAGGAGAGGAATATTGACTTTTACCTATTTAAAGACATCCATCATGTCTTGGATTTTCTCTCATTGCTTACCAAAGTAAGAGGGTCCCTCGAGACGTTCAGGAAAAGGTGTTCTTAGCTCATAAGTTATCTCAAGGTTGGGAATAGATGAAGAAGTGACTTCACCTTCAACTCCTTTAGAGCTTGATGGAGTAGGATGTGAGGGAATATCTGTGGGATGTGGAGTTAGAAGAATGGAATTGATAGGAATCCTACGCCTCTCTTTTTCTACCTCTTTTTCCTCAACTTGATTATCAATGATCTTTCAACTCCTCAAAGTAGTGATGGCATTAACTTACTCATGACGAGAACTTGAAGGAGTAGTCTCATCAATCATGCAAGTTTGCCTTTTTAGATTTACCATTGGCTGACTTGGAAATTTCCCTTCCTCTTTTTGATTCAACACTTTTACTGCCTTACTTGAGTTTCTAACTTGACTATAGATTGAGAATGAGAATGCACCAATTCATTGTTAGACTTAAGGTTGCTAAGTGCAGCCATTACATTTTCTTCAAATGCGGACGAGTACTTAGGAAAAGGAGGATCTGGATTAGCTTGGATCCTTAATTGAGGATGATAGTAGATAGAAGATGGATTGAAAGAATTATTTAGCAAAAGATTGGATGAATTATGGTACTGTCCCTGAGATTGGAGAACAGTATTGCCTTGGCTTTGATTCTGCCATGATATATTAGAATGATCTCCCCAGCCAGGGTTATAAGTATTGGAATTTGGATTGTAACCCGAACTGGAGAATACAGCATTGGTTTGCACTTATGGATTTTCAAAAGAGTGACCCAATAGAGGATAACTGGCAGCATAATGAGATGGACTAGCGCAGACAGAACACACCTCCTTTAGCACAGAAGAGTAGTGAGAAGAACTAATAATACTGACAGCTGACAAAACTTGGTAAAACTTTCGATTTAATACTTCCATTTGAATGGCGAGCTCTCCAGATATTTCTGCTTCATACAAACTTTCAACTTGATAGATACCAGGAGTGGACTTAGTCCTAGAGGAAGAAGTGTATTGTACATAATTTTCACTTAGGGCCTCAAACAGTTCCCAAGCGTCATCTAGACTCTTATAAAGGAAACCACCATTACTAGAAGCATCTACCTTGATCTATATGGATCATGTAATCCATCATAGAAGATTTGCACCAAATGTCATTTAGCAATATTATGGTGTGGACACTTTCTCAGAAAATCATTGTATCTCTCCCAGGCATCATGGAACTATTCACCAGGGATTTGGGAGAACGCCGTGATCTCTCTTCTCATTTGTATGGTTTACCCACAGTGTAGTATTTTTTCAAGAACTCTTTTTACAACTTATCCCATGTGCTTATGGAATTATGAGGTAGGGAGTGTAATCAAGTTCTGCCTTTGTGCTTGAGAGAAAATTAGAAGAGTCTCATCCAAAAAGCATCATCAGAGACAGTGGACAACTAGGTAGTTGAACACAATTCCAAAAATTTATCTATGTGCTTATAGGGATTTTCAATAACAAACCCATAGAATGTTGGAAGCATTTGGATCATAGCTGGTTTGATCTCAAAGTGGGTTGCATCAGATAGTGGAAATTAAAAGCAACAAGATGATGTATATGAGGTGGGAATGAAGTGATCCCTCAATTGTGGTTGTGGTCGAGGAACAGGTGCTTGTGCCACATGTGCCCTATTGGGATTATCACCATTATTAGCCATGTCTGATTTAGAGAATTCTCCTAACAATTTAGGCTAAGATCAATGATAACAAGTAGCAAGAAAAATAAAAAATTCAAGTGAAGAAAAACAACAAAAACTCATAAAGGTCCTGAAACCGAAGCTTCTATTCCTTAGGCGTCTTCCTCCTCGCTGCTAAATTCCTGCACTTGAAATTATTGTTATGGGCCCAATTGTTACCAAAAGCTGTAAAACCAATCCAAAGGGGAGTGGGGCTTGTTCTCCACTATAAAAGAAGAGAAGAAGGCCATAGAAAATAATCTCTTTTCTTGTTATTATTCCTCTCTCTCACGGCGGCTTTGAGGGTTTTGAAGAAGATCTAACAAGTGGGTTGCATCAGATAGTGGAAATTAAAAGCAACAAGAGGATGTATATGAGGTGGGAATGAAGTGATCCCTCAATTGTGGTTGTGGTCGAGGAACAGGTGCTTGTGCCACATGTACCCTATTGGGATTATCACCATTATTGGCCATGTCTGATTTAGAAAATTCTCCTAACAATTTAGGCTAAGATCAATGATAACAAGTAGTAAGAAAAATAAAAAATTCAAGTGAAGAAAAACAACAAAAACTCACAAAGGTCCTGAAACCGAAGCTTCTATTCCTTAGGCGTCTTCCTCCTCGCTGCTAAATTCCTGCACTTGAAATTATTGTTATGGGCCCAATTGTTACCAAAAGCTGTAAAACCAATCCAAAGGGGAGTGGGACTTGTTCTCCACTATAAAAGAAGAGAAGAAAGCCATATAAAAATAATCTCTTTTCTTGTTATTATTCCTCTCTCTCACGGCGGCTTTGAGGGTTTTGAAGAAGATCTAACAAGTGGGTTGCATCAGATAGTGGAAATTAAAAGCAACAAGAGGATGTATATGAGGTGGGAATGAAGTGATCCCTCAATTGTGGTTGTGGTCGAGGAACAGGTGCTTGTGCCACATGTGCCCTATTGGGATTATCACCATTATTAGCCATGTCCGATTTAGAGAATTCTCCTAACAATTTAGGCTAAGATCAATGATAACAAGTAGTAAGAAAAATAAAAAAATCAAGTGAAGAAAAACAACAAAAACTCACAAAGGTCCTGAAACCGAAGCTTCTATTCCTTAGGCGTCTTCCTCCTCGCTGCTAAATTCCTGCACTTGAAAAGAAAAAGAAATAAGGTGAGATATCAGAAAGTCCTAAAACTATAAATTAAACTAGAATTATTCTCGAACTCAACAAAACCGCAACACAGTCCCCGGCAACGGCGCCAAAAATTGATGTGTGTTTTTATTTATCAATAATAAAATACCACTCGCAATAGAACAAATCCTTATAGGATAGGGCTATATTGAGGGTGCCGAACCTCAAGGACTGTGGTGGTTTATCAAATCTTTAATTAATACTATTTTAATTTAGAAAAATGATCTGATTTGTTGTATTGTGTTGCAATTCAATAATATAAAAGAAAATAAATGGAATAAAATGATTGAGATCAAGAGAAGAAATACTTAGGGATTAACTTCACCACAAACCTCATACTATGGACAACTGTTCCACTTTAGGATTTCAACAATTTCTATACTATATGGAATTAAACTTAATAACATCCGTTTAATTCATATTTAAAGATAGATGTTTCATTGAACTTAGCTAACTATAACCTATCAAAAGTTGGCTCGAATTATCTACTTACCTACTTTTAACTAATGTTGCAGTGTAACTCATCTTCCCTAAGCATAGATTATGAAAGAGTTCATTCAATAAAAATGTTTGAACACCATTACATGATCTCCATTCTTATGTCCAACAAGGCTCCGCCAGATATCGTCTAATAAGAATAGGTTGAGAATAATTTATGAGCAGTTGTATCTAAGACAAGGTAATAACTATTCAAAAACTATTAATTCATTAAAACACCAATTGAGTTGGCTCAATTGCTCAAAATCATGTAATCAAAGTATATACTATATTAAATTCTCAAAGTAGAGAATAATCAAACCATAGAATTCGGATTTGGGCTACATCAATGCCCTAATAGAGGAATTAGCTACCTATGACGACGCAAGATATTATCTGTGTTGTTGTGGTCTTCATCGCCATGGACCGCCAAAACTCCTTTTAGATCTTCTTCAAAACCCTCAAAGCCACCGTGAGAGAGAGGAATAATAACAAGAAAAGAGATTATTTTCTATGGCCTTCTTCTCTTCTTTTATAGTGGAGAACAAGTCCCACTCCCCTTTGGATTGGTTTTACAGCTTTTGGTAACAATTGGGCCCATAAGGAAATAAAGAGAGGTGAAAATATATAATTCCTGCACGTATTTTTAACTTCCAGGATGTCAAGGCTCGAGCTCTAAAGTCCCAGGCTCGAGCTTTAGGTACAAGGCTCGAGCTTTCAAGAACATACCTCGAGCCTAAGCGATTTTTATGCATTTAGAGTGGGAATCTCGAGATGGCTATTAGAGACAAAACTATCGGACTTCAAGTCTTCTTTCCAGAGCCACTGAGTTTGCTCAATTTGGAGTTTCGAGTCAAAATTTATAGCGATGTCTTCTTTCTAGAGCAACAAGGGGATGTATATGAGGTGGGAATGAAGTGATCCCTCAATTGTGGTTGTGGTCGTGGAACAGGTGCTTGTGCCACATGTGCCCTATTGGGATTATCACCATTATTAGCCATGTCTGATTTAGAGAATTCTCCTAACAATTTAGGCTAAGATCAATGATAACAAGTAGTAAAAAAAAATAAAAAAATTCAAGTGAAGAAAAACAACAAAAACTCACAAAGGTCCTGAAACCGAAGCTTCTATTCCTTAGGCGTCTTCCTCCTCGCTGCTAAATTCCTGCACTTGAAATTATTGTTATTGGCCCAATTGTTACCAAAAGCTGTAAAACCAATCCAAAGGGGATGGGGACTTGTTCTCCACTATAGAAGAAGAGAAGAAGGCCATAGAAAATAATCTCTTTTCTTGTTATTATTCCTCTCTCTCACGGCGGCTTTGAGGGTTTTGAAGAAGATCTAACAAGTGGGTTGCATCAGATAGTGGAAATTAAAAGCAACAAGAGGATGTATATGAGGTGGGAATGAAGTGATCCCTCAATTGTGGTTGTAGTCGAGGAACAGGTGCTTGTGCCACATGTGCCATATTGGGATTATCACCATTATTGGCCATGTCTGATTTAGAGAATTCTCCTAACAATTTAGGCTAAGATCAATGATAACAAGTAGTAAGAAAAATAAAAAATTCAAGTGAAGAAAAACAACAAAAACTCACAAAGGTCCTGAAACCGAAGCTTCTATTCCTTAGGCGTCTTCCTCCTCGCTGCTAAATTCCTGCACTTGAAAAGAAAAAGAAATAAGGTGAGATATCAGAAAGTCCTAAAACTATAAATTAAACTAGAATTATTCTCGAACTCAACAAAACCGCAACACAGTCCCCGGGAACGACGCCAAAAATTGATGTGTGTTTTTATTTATCAATAATAAAATACCACTCGCAATAGAACAAATCCTTATAGGATAGGGCTATATTGAGGGTGTCGAACCTCAAGGACTGTGGTGGTTTATCAAATCTTTAATTAATACTATTTTAATTTAGAAAAATGATCTGATTTGTTGTGTTGTGTTGCAATTCAATAATATAAAAGAAAATAAATGGAATAAAATGATTGAGATCAAGAGAAGAAATACTTAGGGATTAACTTCACCACAAACCTCATACTATGGTCAACTGTTCCACTTTAGGATTTCAACAATTTATATACTATATGGAATTAAACTCAATAACATCCGTTTAATTCATATTTAAAGATAGATGTTTCATTGAACTTAGCTAACTATAACCTATCAAAAGTTGGCTCGAATTATCTACTTACCTACTTTTAACTAATGTTGCAGTGTAACTCATCTTCCCTAAGCATAGATTATGAAAGAGTTCATTCAATAAAAATGTTTGAACACCATTACATGATCTCTATTCTTATGTCCAACAAGGCTCCGCCAGATATCGTCTAATAAGAATAGGTTGAGAATAATTTATGAGCAGTTGTATCTAAGACAAGGTAATAACTATTCAAAAACTATTAATTCATTAAAACACCAATTGAGTTGGCTCAATTGCTCAAAATCATGTAATCAAAGTATATACTATATTAAATTCTCAAAGTAGAGAATAATCAAACCATAGAATTCGGATTTGGGCTACATCAATGCCCTAATAGAGGAATTAGCTACCTATGACGACGCAAGATATTATCTTCGTTGTTCTGGTCTTCATCGCCATGGACCGCCAAAACTCCTTTTAGATCTTCTTCAAAACCCTCAAAGCCGCCGTGAGAGAGAGGAATAATAACAAGAAAAGAGATTATTTTCTATGGCCTTCTTCTCTTCTTTTATAGTGGAGAACAAGTCCCACTCCCCTTTGGATTGGTTTTACAGCTTTTGGTAACAATTGGGCCCATAAGGAAATAAAGAGAGGTGAAAATATATAATTCCTGCACGTATTTTTAACTTCCAGGATGTCAAGGCTCGAGCTCTAAAGTCCCAGGCTCGAGCTTCAGGCACAAGGCTCGAGCTTTCAAGAACA